TACATAGCTTATATTAATAATATATATAATATTGTGATAGTACATAAATTAAAGAAAATCCTAAATAGAATAACACTTCAAGAGCATAGACATACCAAAGTGTTTTTGTGGAATAATTGCATCAGAGCGTGGACATAAATAACCGTCTTCGAGCATAGAGATACAAATAGTATATATAGAAAAATCGACTAGGATCGTGGACATGCAAAAGTTGTATATAGAAAAACTGCACTTTAGTATGGACATATAAAGGGTGGTAAAAAGCAATATTTTAGAACATAAACATAACAAGTCTATCTAAAGACCTATAGTCTTTAGGTCTTTAGAGAAAAGACATGGACATATATATACCATTGCTATGCATAGAAGTTTAGCCTTATCACATAAACATACGGATGCTTAAAAGGAATATAAACTCATGAAAGTTATCCCGCATATAACTTTGAAACACCAAACGCGCGTTTCGGCTACATAAAACTCGTCAGTGGCGCTCGAATCAAAACAGTTGAAAGCCAAATCAAATAACAAAGGTAAGATCTTTAATAACCGAACATTCCGAAAAGTTGTATAGGAGCAAGAACATACCAAACATTGTATAGAGAAATCGTCTAAGAGCATACACGTATATCTTGGTTCTATACCTACTACGTGTTATACGTGCTAATAATTCTTTTAAATGATTTTGTGTACAAAAATCAAATCAATCATAATATAGTGTAATGAACTAAAGTTAAAAACCAATAAAAATGACAACTTAATTATAGTAAATTATTTCCATTCAACATGCAATGACAGAAAATAAGGCATAGAAACTTTTACAAATGAATGAAACGATGAATGATTTGGGGTTTTTTTTACAAATAAAAGTTATATGAATCTTTCTAAAACAGTCGTCATTTTTATTATTTGCAAACACTGAGGAAATGGTAAATTGTAAGATTGACGACAAATTATATAGAGGCAAATTAATATCTAATGATGTACTTTAAAATCAAATAAACATTTTACGAAAAAACACAATACTCCATTGATGCGGAGAGTGAATGGATAAGTAGTTATGTTCATTGCAGAAAGTATTGTTACGCAATGAAAAGATTAGAAGCCAACACAAATAGAAACAGAAACAAAAGGAGGCAACAAAAAGACCTGTGATCCCCCCACTCCCCCTCGGTTTTGATGGGTTTCGTTTTCCTAGTTTGTAGTTTTCTATGTAATGTTTTTTTTTTCCGATTGGTGTTTGTCTTATCGTCGTTTTTGTCATGATAATGTCGGTTTTTCATCTACATTGTACATGTACTTATATTTTTTATTGTCCTTTTGATATTTCCTGCTTCTTCTTTCTAAACATAAAGGAATGGCCATTACTAATGAAAGCGAAACTCCACAATGAAATAATTTAAATGATCGTGTAAGGCAAACAAAGCACCTGCACAGATTACATTCAGGTAAAGTCGAACTGATTCCACTGGTGATCAGCTATGTATTTGTTTGGATGTACAACGTCGGAATGGTTATGACGTAACGATAGAAAAGCTTTTAAGATACGACGTATATTTAAAGTTTATAAATCATCCATTTATAGTAGTGAATTATTTGTAAAACGTCAAGCACGTGTTGACCAACATTTCTGTTTTTCTGATAGGATATAACTGTGAAGGGCAGCTGTAAATATATAAGTTTGGAACGCCCTAAATTACTCGTGTGAACTTACAAATAAAGAATTGAGAGAATATAATCATAAAAGTTCAATGATTTGTGTTTATAGAGTATTATTGTTTTACTAACTAACATGCCTTAACTGATACATGATATCACCTTTCGTACAAATGGTACATTAATTATAGTAAGGAGTGTATCTCAATTATAATTGATCAGGAAATACCACACACATGCATCCTATTTAGAAGAACATTGGGTAAAAATCTAAATACTAAGATATTAAAAGTGCTTCTAGTATTGTTGTTTTAAAAACGTTTGATTTTTGTTTTTGTTGAGTGGAAAATTTAAAATACAGGGGCCGGTTTCATGAAGCTATCATAAGACCTGGCATAAGATGTATCTTAGGACATGTCTAATGATCCTCTTATGACTATCTTAGGACATATCTCAGACCTCACCTCGAAGCTGTCTTAGAATGATCTTAGCAAAGATATCCTAAACCTGAACGCAAGTTCTTTAAATTTTCAAATATTGACATGGATTTGTGGAAAAAATCATGTATATGTAGCATGTGTTTCCCAAAGATTACTAAAAGTATTGATTAATATTCCATAATTAAATAATTTGCAAAATTAATATAAAAATAAGTGTAATTTATAAAAATAATCTAAAAATGATAACAATTTGTTTTGTACAAATAAGTTGAATTAAATTTGTCACTGTATCGGTTATAATAAGGTTAAAGGATAAAATCGTGCATTCTTGCTATAAATACATCGAATGTTCATTGTTGATAAATCATTTTGATAATCCGTCAACCTATAAGGATTTAGTTATGAGCAGGAATAGGAGTCCCTATTTCACCGTATCAGAGTTATTTCAGCGTATATTTTGTTGTCGTCTGAGGTGCATTAAAACTACAAAAGCCATATTTGTTTACAACTCATGTTAGGACATCATAACAATGCCTTAACTTATGACTATTCTAAGACCATCATGGGACACCTCTCGTGTAGTCCTAACTTTATGACCAACTTACAGAGATGTTTTTAGTTGCGACCACTGTGTGAAACCCAATTAGGACTAAGGTATGTATCTAAGACCACTCTAAGACATATTGAGCGTCGTATTTTGAAGATGATATGCGACGATTGCCAAATGAGGAAATGAATATTAAGTTTTCAAAATGAAACATCTTGGATAGGAAGTATGAGGGGTTCTTAGTTAAGACTATGATATATATTAATTATTACTTGTGATCTTTTAAGGGAGGAACAAGAGATAGTTAGAACTATCACTTAGGAATGACGTAACAATGGTACCAAAGAAAAGCGATCATGAATGCAAACATTTTGATCCCTTTTTAACATTTATGTAACAATATTTAGATAAATAAATAAAAGGTTTTTAAATACTTTGTAATTTTTCAATGTCAAAAATTAAAAATCTACAAATCTTCTATCCATGTAATATGCCTTATGACAAAACAAAACTATCACTGGATTTCAATATAAGTGCAAATCATTAATTTTCTTCGTAGTGATTTGTAGATTATTGTTAGCTTGTTTTGTTGTTGTCTTTTACCAATGTATATTGATACTTTTGTCCATTTTCATTCAAGATTTCTTTCTTTTGAAGTTACTGAAATACATTCACTTCAACGTTTACACTACGCTTCGTATTTTGAAGATTGTATGCGACGATTAATCATTACCAAATGAATGTGTCAATATTAACGTACATATCTTCAAAGCAACAACAATTTCAGAAAAGAGTTTCAATTGACAAGGCCTTCTAGTTCTATGGGCGCAAGTTTATGACATGGACCATCTATAAATCAGTCCTTGTCTGGTACTTGTACCCTAGCGGTTTCAGATAACATTGGCGGGAAATTTCCCCAGTTTGAAATGAAATTTCAAAATAAGGTAAACAGTAGACTATTTTTTTTTCTTTATTTGTCTCAGAGATAGTCAAGAAGGCCGATAAAACCGTTCAAGTCAATTTCATTTTTTCTTAATTAAAAGTAAATTTGTTGAATTTCGGAAATCATAATTTGTTTATAAAAATTCAAGTATTTCTTTTTTTGTAATTTCTTTTTAATAAATCCGCGCAAACGTAGTGACTTTTCAATAGGTAAATTTCGCGCAAACGTAATGCGTTTTGTCGCGCAAATGTGGATTTTAATCGTGCAAACGTAGGACAAATTCGCGCAAACGTAACGCACCGGTTTATATAAATATAGTTTGTAGTAGTTTAATATTTACTCTGGTCTTTAATTCTCCTTCGTACCAGTACATGCCAAATTTGTGCAAAAATTTATCGGCTCCAAAAATACTGGAATAAAATCCAAGAAAAGTTACAAAGCTTTATCATTCGATATTTACAATTGATACAACTGAAGAAAAATAGAAACTAATTTCATTTGTAAAAGGTTAAGGTTTCGACCCCTACTAAACTGATATTCCAAGTTTCCTTTATGTTAGTAAGAAATCAATTGTTTCAGTCAGTGTAGCAACACAGTCTGTTTTCCTTTGCTTTATTATGTATAGATATAGAATTAAAAACCGACAAAGGAATATTTGAAACTCCAACACATAATTTTCTAGTTTGGTTTTCTGTTTTATACTAACATTATTAACAGCATTGTTACAGTTCAGTCATATTCAATTAAAGTAGTAAAATTTTATCATTTTTACCTGAGACTACTATGGTTAAAGTAATCTCAGTTTGTACTCAAGTTCACGCTTTAACTGACGTTTACTATTTTATTTTACATTTATCGCTGGGCCAAGCATGGTACTGAATTATTTTATGTGTAATAAAATATTTGTCATATTTCCTGTTTTGTAAATTGGACATCTATTATTTACATTTTTTTTCCAATTAACAATAATAAAAATATATAACGTTTTCGAAGCATTCATGCTCTTTATATCTTGAGTTGTGAATCAACCAGTGGTTACATGGTATCTATCAAGAAATACGTGCATCATGTGTGCTCTTAAACACAAGAGGACACACATGAACAAAATAAAACAAATAAAACCACAATAATAGATAGGGTTTTATCGACTTTACAGTTCCACTGTTATTTTCTTTTTTTAAGCATACAATTCAAACTATTTACAGCTAAAATACTAGAATTAACTAACAAAGTAATAAAAGTAATTTAGATACTGACTTCGTTAAGACATATATTTAATTCAATTAAAGCGTAATTTAACACAACTGTCAAGTCATTCCTTCAATTTTTTATGAATTGCCAATCTAATTTAAATTTTTTGTAATGAAAATTTGCCAAAAATTGAAATTAAATCTGTTTATAGAAGAAAACCACATACCTGTAAACTTATCATGCGGTCATCGAGTCATTATTTGGTAATTAAAACCCAAATCATAAATGGTCATAATTCCAGTGCGTTTATTTCTCATATTAATCGTCTTACTTGACGTGTACAGTCTATTTTTCGCTAATTAAAATATTTCAATCACTATTTAACCATAACATCAATATTTTGTTTGTAGAATTGATCTATTGTTTTTTCCGTCATCTTGAAGATTGTTTCATTCCTGTCTACAGTGACAGGAACTTTATAATCACAGCCTAATACATAACGATCAAATATTGAGATTTTCTTCCTAAATTCACTCCATACACTTTTTACAGATTTCAGGAACAGTTATTTGCATGTCAGTCAAGTTTCCTTTCAATGATTATAGTGTTTATTAATAATCACATCTTACGTCAAATTGATGCACAGTATATGAAATTTTGTCTCGGAAGTAGTTCCACAAATAAAACTGTTCCATTATTATTTCTTTTTTACTTTATTTTCAAACGAACTTTATATTTTTTTTATTCCCTATTTATTGTAGATTCAAAAGAAATTATAAATACAAAAATCCATACAGAGACAAATATCTATATTTTTCTTTAATTCTAAACTTTGACTTTATACTAATATGCCATTTCTCGTTTATGAACTGCCAGTGGCAAATCTTTTCGCTTAAAGGCATAGTTTAAATGGAATAGAAATCTTATTTCAAATATTCATAATGTAGATGCACAGGAAACACAGAAAAGTTGAACGATATTTGAGAAGAAAGTTTTCCAAAGGCTATACAACATATTTATCTATCACAGTACATACAATACATGCATCTCATCTTGATAATTGACCTTTAACCTTTGCATGCAGTGTTACCATCGGCTCATTTATTTAAGTAATCCGATCTTTTTAATGACTTTTGCGTGACATTTATTTTTATTTAATAGTATCAATTTTTATTCTTACACACAACAAAAAGATAATACCTGCACATTTGTAAGTCAATATGTATGTGTGTTTTAAAAATGAAAATCTCAACTGATATCAAAAGACTCAAACGTTTGTATATTTGTATTCTAGAAAAAAATCATTGCATGTTTGGGTTGCCTTCTCATTGTTACAGATATTCATTTCTTAAAACAGAAACAAAAAACCAATAGTACATAATCATAAACCAATAAACATGCTTGTTCCTTAAAGTGAGCTATAAAGTTTTAATCGTCACTTCAAAAAAACCCAACATTTTAATAGCGGTACATTCTACAACAGAAGGAGAACAAATAGGCAAGAACAAGTTGTTATGAAAATCTATTTTGTTTTCTTTAAAGTCATAAATTCTCGCAATGAATAAACAGAATAGATAATAAAGTTCGTAATTTATTAAAATTTGAAATTGTAAAGATTTGTAATTATAACCGTACCATACATGCCATAGGAGGATTTTCTATCTATAACGTAAACATGAATTTGGACGGACAAACGATCTGAAAACGTGTTATGCGCGTAAAAACCTACCAGATTAAAGTTCGGCACCGAATACCAAGAATGATGCACCATTACATCTATGTAAAATCCCAAAGTATATAAAGAGAATAACCGGAATCACCAATAATACATGACAGTGCAATACACCATACCAACCACTAACACCCTGCTTCTCCGAAAAAAAAACCAGACGTGCAAACAAAGGCAAAAAACAACGTCACAACATGTGTTTTGCAAACTAAATATAGACCAGTACGGAATCTAAAATAGCATCATAGGATAGTTTTACTTTTTGTTGACTGTTTACGTTCTTTCAGACAACTATATATAGTGTTGCACAATAGATTACAAGGTCTGCATCATCAGTTTAAAATAACATTGGTTCTCAGTGACGTCAAATCACCCGCAGACAATAAAGCAACGCAAACAGTGTAAATTTTAATTCTCAGTCTAGTCATATTTCACGTTGGGCCAATACCAAACTTGAAAACTCATTATTTAGCATTCACACAAATAGCGAAACATACTCTGAATTATTCATTCAAATATCGTGTACAAAATTAACCACGTGACCTTGTGATAGACTACTGTATTCTGAAAACAATTAAGAATCGGATAATAAATAACAAATAGCACTGTGAGATATTGAAAGCTATTAACAGTAACAGAAAGTACTATAAACCATATAGTCAGGATGTTTTACATTGATGAGATTAAATCGTACAACATATTAGGATACCACGTAAAACCATGTTGATTTGCTTTTCTTTTGTGAATGGAAACATTATCTTCAATGATGAAATAAATAAAATAAAGAAACGAATCGAATCGAAAGGTGTCGAAGTTTTTAAAAACTAATTTAGTTTTTTTCAAGATTCAAAGATCTTTGACATACGAATACAATTTAGAAAAAGGTGAGAAAATACAGAGTTGAAAAAGAAAGAATCATCAGTTTCCAAAAACGACAGACAAGTATACCATTTCCAATGGAAAAGAGAAACCAAACCACGCTCCACATAAATCTATCAGTAACTATTTCGAAGATTATTTCTCTGACTATGTTATCAATCGGAGATTCTATCTTACCACGATATACTTATTTCTATTCTGATTTCAAAGTAATAACAGTTGAAAAAGTGGCAGCATCATCTTGAAAACTCAAAATATTCGATTCAACAGTCGGAGATTTTATTAACAACGATATAGTCTATTCTGATTTTGATTTCAAAGCAAGAAAAGTTAAACCTTGAAAACGTCATGGTCGGTTCTTATGAATAACCTGGATATTGACTCGGGGTCCAAAATTACAACAAAAAGCTAACAAAACATACAAAATGGAAAATTAAAAACTAAAACCGGTATCGTAAGCAATGAATATAACCTTATTAATAATATCCCTTTAAGACTATGCCAGCTCTAGACGCGTTGGTCGATTACCTAAGATTTGCAACAAACCTTGGATAATTTTTTATAGTTATTAAACTGTTTCTAGATATTAAAATATGTAACCTCCAATTTGGGGACATTTTCGTGAAAAAGTTTGCATTTACCGAACAGAAGTTAACTCTGCTCGCATGCTCCCAAGTTAGCGCGAATTAAAGTATCATTGTTACAAATACTTAAAAGATAACTGTATTTTATTCAAAGATTTATGAAAAATTATGTATGCAAATTTTTAAATACAATACTGCTATCCCAATACTAATGCAACAAATATATCTTGGTCGTGTGTATTAATTGAGAACTACATTTTGAACAGGATTACGGATAAATTGTATACGCGTTCAGCCTTTTACTTGATTTCTACATGTCAACAGATTACAACATCAAAACTTTAACGAGGAAGTAGAACTCAATGCTCTTTTAGGGACATGCATGAGGCCTCGGTTGTCCAATCATGTTCGTGTTTTTAATCCTTTGTTAATTTAAATTTATGCTTTCTGTTTGTTATCAATAGGCTTGTTTGTCCTTGTGAAATTTACGGCTCCTGATTGACCCTTATTTGCTGTATCAAACGGGAAGCAATTTATGTTATTTATTCAATGGTATTTTTTAGTAATACCTTAGCTTAACAAAATGCTTAACTCAGTTCCAATATTGAAAGTTGTATAGAAGAAGAATTCCTCTACTGCAACTATGTTACGTTTCCCTTTAGCGCGCAATGTTGCATATGAAGAATAAATTCACAACTTCACAGTAATAAAATTCAATTAAGCTAATAATCTTGATTTTCTTCTTTCATTTCTTTTTCGTAATCATGTCATTGATTTAAAAATTTCCATTGAATCATTTCTTGACTGCTAGTGTAAAGAATTGTTTGTTTTCATATCACTAATTGATTGTCAATTGTTGCAGCTTCAGTGTATAAGAGTAAGGAATTATATTGTATTGAGACAATAAATTGTAGTATCAATATCAGCAGATATGAAGTATTATCTGTGAGTAATTAAACCATCAAATTAGATTAATTCAAGAAGGAAATCTTGTGTTAAACGATAGCGGATGTGAGTACATGAATATTGTGAGTAAACGAGTGGCAATATAGGGCTAACAAACATAGAAAACTCTTCAAAAGGCTTAAAAACAGAAATGAATTGATTGCAAGACCTTTGTTCCATCCACATAGGAAGGTACAAGTTTGCGACATCAAAGGTGAAAAATTGAGTAGGACCACTACGCACACCATATGCATAGATCAGTCCTGAAAATCAAATTTGCTGTATTGCACAAATTAAGCATTTATTGCATTTTAACACACATTTTTCGCTGAAATTAACATTTCTGTTTATTTTATAAAGAGATATGAAATATATTCAAAGCAGTTAAGCTTCAAAACTGAATAATTTTCAAGATTTTATGAAACGTTTTCTCTCTTACGAATTTTTGTACACTATATCCTTTTGGAAAACACGTAACGCATTTCCTGACAAAAACTGAATTCCTGTAAGATCAAAAAGATATATACCCTTGGGATTTTCATAATATTCATTTTGGTCTGATTTATGATAATGGCGATTCCGATATCAAACACTTTTCAGATATGACCCCAAAATTCCAAAGTTAATTTTATGTCGCTTTGGTGTATTAAATTATTTTTGCTGTAGAAAATGCTTGTTTAAATCCAATTTTAAATTTAAAGCCCATTATAATCCTTCAGACACCTTGTTCAAAAAGACTTGAGGTCTTGCATTTAAGAAAAAAAGGTTCATTGACGTATATTCAACATTTCTTTTTATTCATGATATGTAAATCGAAGAAATAAAGAATATATCATAAAAAAAAAAAAACATTTCTTTTGTTTCCTCAGACTATGGTATTGTCTCTCCGTTCTTAATTTGATATTATCAAATACTTCCTTTCTCCTTCCCCCTTTTGTCGTTTTATCTTTTTTTTTATCATTTCTCGGTGTCTATTCATATCAAACAATCTCAACAAACAAGTAAACCAATGGAACATTTTGATATATACTTTATATAAAAAGAAGATGTGGTATGATTGTCAATCTCCACCAGATACCACATGACGTAGAATTTAACAACTTTAGGTCACCGTTCGGCATTCAGTTTATATTATGCATTTTTGTTCAATAGAAAGACATCGGATGGTCTTATGACTCTTGGAACTCAGGTTGTACATTTGTTCTTAAACAAAATACTAGTTATACTTAATGAAACTGTCATCACTTTTCTTTAATCTAAAATGATGAGAACAATGTCAGTTCTCCGGTCACATGGTTTGGTTATAATCACTGATTGCTTTGGTCTCTCAAGATTTTAACGAATTTAATCAAGAAAGTGTTTTCTTGCAATTGTATGAAACAATAAAATCTGCAAAATAATCGAATTTAGAACATCAGCAGTGATAAACCCTAATGATAATGGCATGAAAACGTCAGACTTCCTCAAGTACCAGTTTAATTGGTTGTTTAGTACAGATTTTTTACACTGGTTGTAGGGTATAATAACTATATTGTTATATTTATTTTACTATCGTATTTAGCTATGTAGACTTCTCTACTGATATCTGCAACGAAGGGAATTTTTGGTTTGTCTCGTATTAAAAAAGGGAATAACAAATGCCCTCAACTTCAATGCATATAAGCGCATATTTTTATATATACACCGTTTGATAATACAAGCAACAATGTCCATGGCACGTACTCTTTATTTATCAAAATGAATCACGACCTTATCTTGAAAGAATTACTATATCTCGATTAGAGGTATTATTTGCCATTTCCGTTTAAACAGATAATTTGAT